GAGGTGAGGTAGGGAGCCGGGCGAGGCTACGGAAGGGGCGGGGCGAGGCGAGGCGAGGTAGGGAGCCGGGCAAGGTGAGGTGAGGTGAGGTGAGGTAGGGAGCCGGGCGGGGCTGGGCTAGGCTAGGCTAGGCTAGGCTAGGCTAGAGGGCGAGACGTTTCAGAATACAGTATATATTAAATCCCGTAACATTAAGGTTCCTGGTAATTTTTTAAAAGTGGACAACCATGGATTTTACAATCGGAAAAACCCATTGGTCAACAACCAAAAAGCACCATAACTAACCTAACAACGTAACGTAACCTGGAGGTTCCTTGGTTGTCTCCTGGTGACAAAAGGTCCATTTGTATGTGCACACAACAATTAGAAAGTAAAACAAAATAATATTAGCGTATTTGTGTTTAGATCGGTTATGACCTCCATTTCCGTCGGAAATTGGTCGTTTTTTATTGATTTTTTTGGTGGTGTTTCCCGAAATAAATATTGGCTCAGCGAATGAAAAAAAAAAACCCTATAAAAACATAAACCGGACCTAATCTAACCGACTCTCACCATATGTTGGAATCCCTTATTTCTTACCTTATTGGCCTGGTTCTCGTTGGAGTTACCACATGTGTTGGTCTTGACGACACTTACATTCGTTCTTGCATTAATGACACTTTACGGAGGTCGGGACAACAACATGAGATCTAAAAATGCTATAGTTTTAGTGTGGAGGTAATGGTTTATGTAAACAGTTGGGGACAGTGAGTACACGTGGTGTAGTGGTAGATGGAAGTTGCAAGTTTAATTTTCATTCTACGTAAATTACAACTTTAAGCATGTTGCAGGTGACAGCTGGTGTACTTGAAGGCCAATGGAGAAGTGAGAGAACCTTGAGCAAGACTTAACACCCAGCATGTTACTTCAGCCTCATCAGTTAAGTTACTTATATATTATCTTAGCTATTATGGTCAGCCCATAAACCACTCAACACTGTGCTCCTACACTGGGCAGTGGAGGGTGTGTGTGTGTGGGACCTGGCTGACTGTGAATGTTGGAGGGCTCTGGAGGACTGTGTGTGTGTGTGTGTGTTGGAGGACTGTGTGTGTGTGTTGGACTGTGTGTGTGTTGGAGGGCTCTGGAGAACTGTGTGTGTTGTAGAGCTCTGGAGAACTGTGTGTGTGTGTGACTGACTGTGTGTGTGTTGGAGGACTGTGTGTGTGTGAGTGAGTGTTTTGGAGGTCTGTGTGTGTGTGAGTGTTTTGGAGGACTGTGTGTGTTTTGGAGGAGTGTGTGTGTGTTGGAGGACTGTGTGTGTGGGGGTTGGTGGGGGTGTGTGTGTGTTGGAGGACTGTGTGTGTGTGGGTGGGTGGTTGGGTGTGTGTGTGTTGGAGGACTGTGTGTGGGTGGGTGGGTGGGTGGTTGGTTGGGTGTGTGTGTGTGTGTGTGTGTGTTGGAGGACTGTGTGTGTGTGTGTGTGTGTGTGTGTTGGAGGACTGTGTGTGTGTTGGAGGGCTCGGTATTATTGCAGTTAAGGCCAGTACGCACCTGACTTTTAACCATCCCCAACCTTTAGATCTCCTTATTGGAGTATTTCTAACACTATTTTAACCAGGGAGCAAAGAATGTCAGAAAGGAGTTTTAAAGATTTCCATGCTTTTTTTTTGGGGGATATAATTCTAAAGAGGGTGCTTTCCCCTGGAAATAAAGGTCAAATCCAATTGAATCGACCCAAAATACACAGGATAAACTAATTTCTAAACTACGAGGGCATATTGGACGAAACTGCAATTTTACAACGGGCTCTGGAGAGCTGTGTGGACTGTCTAGATAGACTAAGCTGGGAGTTAAATTAAGATTAGCTGTAGAGATTTGGGAAAGCTTAATAAAATGCTATAAAAATGTACAGGACTAAATGCCAATTACTTACAGTATTAGTGAGCATTAGTAGTAGTAAAGTGATTAATAGTAAGTAAAGCTGGTTGTTAGGTGGGTTTTAACTAACAAATTAACTAACCTAATCAGCCTAACATAGATTAAATGTAACTAATCTAGACTGACCCAAATTAATATTAAGTTACCTATTATATAGTTTATATATTGGATAACAATTATATTAAAGAATGTAACTTAAAATTTGCCACAAGTTAACTGATCATGAATTCAGAAAGTTAAGCTAGAAAAATATTTCACTTGTTTAAATTATTAAAGATCAATAGCTTGCGTACTTTGCACCATCCTTTTCAAAATCTAATCGTGTACTGTACTGACTTTCTCCTCAGGTTAAGCTGGCCAGAAGTAACATCATACTGAACCTAAGGAGAAATAACTTAAAATGCCAGAACAGGTAAAGTCAACTTAATGAGTTTTATTTAGGCAAGGGAAGCTTGTGGGACTTGTGAAATCATTAAACATTGTGTGGGTGTGGCTTGTTGTAATTAGAGTAGGGGGACAATATGGCTTGTGTGTTGGCATATGGGGTGAGCAGGTGTGTTGGTAAAGTTTTTCATTCAAGCTAAATGTGACCAAGTTGTCAAGGGGAACACGGAAGGGGGCTTGAGGGGTGGGAGGAAGGGAGGGAGGATTCAGTAAGTGTTGACTATGAAGCAGTGTGGAGAGATTTAGTAGTGTAGCAGAATTGGTGATGAAGGCTTATGATTGGCAATACTATTGTTGTGGTAAATGTTAGTTGAGGAATTAAGAAAACTAACACTAATGCAACTTAAAATAAGATCTTTTGTAGATAAGGTATTTAAGTAAACAATTGGGGACGGTACAAGTACATGTAGTCTGGTGGTAGATGGAAATTGTATGTTTAATCTTCATTGTACATAAATTACAACTTTAAACATGTTGCAGGTGACAGCTGACGTACGTGAATGCCAGTGAAGAGGAAGTGACTGACACCTTGAGCAAGATGTAACACCCAGCATGTTACTTCAGCCTCCTCAGGTAAGTTACTTGTGTATCTTAGTATGGCCATCCCCTAAAAACTACTGGAAGTAAGACTAGAGGAGGGACTTACTTTGTGTGAAGGGTTGGAAAGGAGGAGCATTGGGCGGTGGGCTCGTACAGTGCAGGCGCTTCGTGCAGTGGAGGGGCCTCATTACAGTGGGGAGTGGAGTTACTAGTACAGTGGGCCGAGCTCATTACAGTGGGGGGTGGGGGCCTGCATTGCAGTGGGGTGCCTGCATTATAGTGAATGACTGCTGGTACAGGGAGCCTCATTACAGTGGGGGTGGGTGCCTGTTACAGTGGGGGTGGGGGCCTGCATTATAGTGGGTGGCTCGTACAGTGGGGGTGGGGCCTCTCGTGCAGTGGGGGTGGGGGCCTCGTACAGTGGGGGTGGGTGCCTGCATTACAGTGGGGTTGGGGCCTCTGTACTTATAGTGGGCGGGCTCGCACAGTGCAGGGGAGCCTCGTACAGTGGGGGGTGGGTGCCTCATTACAGTGGGGGTGGGGGCCTAGGTATAGTGAATGACTGCATTACGAATGAGGGTGGGGGCCTGGAGTACGGTGGGGGGTGGGTGCCTGGTATTAGTGGGCGGCTCGTACAGTCAGAAGCGCTCAGCCATGGATGGTGGTGTGCTCAAGCAATGGTGAATGGTGTGTGCATGTTAAAAATGTGATGCAAAAAATAGCATGTACTATGAAGGCATGTGGGGGATGATGCCTAGATGAAGACTGCTGCAGCCAAAAGTGAGAAGGACAATGCTCCTGTGTAAGGTGATATAGGAGGGTGTTTGAGTGTATGGATATATCACATATATATAAGAATGCAAGTTTAGATTCCAAGAAATTCTGGAGTAAATGTTGTGTATTGGTAGTAATACATTAAGGCTAATTAAGGTTGATCTAAATCCAAACCATGTTGCAGGTGGTTGGTGTACAAGATAGATGGACCAGACACAACAAGGTGACTACGACTGTCTAGCATCCCACACCTTGAGGACTACCACCGTACTAAGAAAGAACAGAATTGGTGTTCTGTACACTACTGTTAAGGGTAGTGTACTGTAATGTAAAAGTTAAGTATTACTGAAACCTTTTTTTATATAATTTAGCAAAACTTGATATATTACTTAAAATAGTGCATTTAAGAACATACAGTACAAGTTAACCTCAATATTGTGTATTGGTTGTGATATAAAATAGCTTAATTAATTCAGATGTAGAGTATCTAAAAACAAATATAATCATGTTGCAGGTGGTTGGTGTACAAGATAGATGGACCAGACACAACAAGGTGACTACGACTGTCTAGCATCCCACACCTTGAGGACTACCACCTTACTAACAAAGAACAGAATTGGTGTTCTGTACACTACTGTAAGAATAGTGTAATGTGAAAGTTAAGTATTACGGAAATATTTTTGTTATAATTTAGCAAAACTTGAGAAAATACTTAAAGTACTGTACTAATGCATTCAAGACTGTAGGAGTGAACCTTGATTAAAGCCACACAAAGTATTAAAAATAGCAAGATACATTATGTACAGTAGCATTATTAACTACAGTGGTAGTCACAGTTTTGTTGTGGTTGCAAAAAATTTCCATTTTATAATACTATATTTTTCGTCCACAGGTGAAGTATCAGCAAGGTGTACAACGAGATACACGGACATCAATCAAACGGATTGTGAGAGGTTTGAATATCTCGCACGGATCCATTTCTCTTAGTGGTTTGTAAAATTAAGTGTAATATGTAATTGTTGTTCAGTGTGGGAAGGCCTCTGGTGGCTTGTTGAGGGATGGTGTTTGTACCGGGGGAGGCGTTTGTACCGGGGGAGGCGTTTGTACCGGGGGAGGCGTTTGTACCGGGGGAGGCGTTTGTACCGGGGGAGGCGTTTGTAGTGGTAGAGGCACTTGCACTGGTAAGGCACTTGCACTGGTAAAGGCACTTGCACTAGGAGGTGTTTGTAATGGTTTGTACTCCTACAATGTCTGTGTATAACAATAAATAAATAAATAAATATTGAATAAACTTTACATTTCATATTCCGAAGTTGAATGATAATGATCTAAATAAACCACAAGTACAGTAGAACTGTAAACTATACCTGAAACATGAACTAAAGTGATCAACTTGGATACACCCACATGATGGCTTCTGGGTAACTTAGAACATGATATATACATTAATTACATATAATTATCACCAATTGACATCAAAGTGCCATTCATTGTACGTACAACTGTTACAAACTAATGCCCATGTGATGCCCTATTGGGTACATGTAATCAAAACTACTAGATACCCACAGATGGCACAAATAATGCATTTAAGTCACAGACGCCTCGGACAAAGGATTTCGACAACCTTACCGGGAGAACGGGCGTCTCGTGTTCATTTTGAAATTCATCGGCCATGACCGTAAAGAACATTTTTTATTGCATACATACTATTAATTTGAAAGTATTGTATATATACAGTAAATGAAAGTAAAGTACAGTAAGAATTTTACTTACTAAATGTTGACAATCTGGACACTGCACACCAATTGCTGAATGGAAGTGTTTTACCTGAAAATATAGAAGAAAAAATCTTGTAAAATTGTAATAAACAACTTATGAACCCCCCTCCCCCCACCCGGCCCCCTAAAGACTTGGTAACTTGGATAAATTTAGAAATATATCTGTACTGTGCCTGGCCAAAATTATTCACAAAGTACAAGACTTCCATTATTATCTAAAGCTAAATTTTGTGTAGGACCAAAACCTGACAAGATACTTTATAAAACCTTAAGGTCTAGTGAAATAAACTCACCTTATGTGGAGTCTGCAATATAAGGGTTGAATTGTGAAATCCACAACCGCTGGTAATGTGACGGCCTCACCATCACTGATGTATCTGCCGAGAAATAATAATGGTAGTGGTACTGTAATGTGATTTCTTGGGACACTGGAGAAAGATATCTAGTGATGTTGCCAATCATTACAAGTTTTCTCTGATTTTCTTCTGTGCTAATATTTGGTAATGTAGGTTTAAGAACATAAGACTGCAGGAATAGCCAGTAAATTGATATATACTGTACCTAGACAGTGCAGGTATAAAACCAGGCTATATGACCAAGGATATTTTGTATTTCTGTATCAGCTTCTGGACTGTTATTGTATATTGCAATAAATGTGTAGTGTATACATATGAAAATAAAAAATATACTGTATATTCAATTCTTTATTTTGTATTACCTATCTACAAAGATATAAAAACATAGTACACAATGTACAGTACATATGTAATTTTTTTCTATGTTGCTGACAGAACACATTACCTTTTTCAGAACAATTTATAATGTAAGTTTGTTAGGTGGCGATGGTAGATACAACACTGCAGTAGCCCTCCTCCTTTATCCGGGCTTGGGACCGGCATGTTCGACTGAACAAGGCGGAGTTACTACTGTGCATTCTACGTCTAACTACGGTGCTGTTAGTGCTATCAACTATAACTTGAAAAACTTTACCTTTATTACCTCCAAGAAGCACCTTGTAGTAGGTCCAGTCAGCCACACAAACAAACCTGGAATACAAAAAACTTTAAAACATAACATTCATAAATACTTGCATATAGACATTATATATTGTCATAAGTACTTTACCTGTTTGGAGGAGTTCTCGACCAGCCACACGTTCACCTCGGAGGCGCACAATCTGAAAGAAATGAGAAAACCTTAGTCCCATCCACACACATTAAAGGTGGGAGGTTGGGTGTGTGAGAGAGGGTGAGTGTATGGATGGGAGTGAGGGTGTGTGTATGGGAGGACCTCCCCCACACACACCCTCACTCCCATCCATACACTCACCCTCTCTCACACCTTTCCTTATACCCAACACTCCCTCCCAAACACCCCCACCCACCCACCAACCCTCCCTCCCTCCCACCCCCCCTCCCTCCCACCCAACCCTCCTCCTACACCACCTCCCCTCCAACCCAACTCACATACCTACCCATCCCAACTCCCTTCCCATCCACCCAACCTTTTGGGTGTGTGGATGGGAGGTAGTGTTTGTGGATGGGAGGAAGAGGATGTGCATGGGAGGAAGAGGGTGTGGATGGGAGGAAGAGGGAGTGGTTAGGAGGAAGTGTGTGTGGTTGGGAAGAAGGGTGTGGTGTGCCATGCCCTCCTCCATGCAAACACAGCATCGAAAAATATTCTGAAGAAAATTGGTTTGTATTGCTGTAATATTGTATTGTGAGGACTCATTTGTGTTTTACTATGAATGATAAGTGTGCAGGGATTATGGTGGTGTAAGAGAGAGAGAGCCTTATAATAGTTGTGAGGAGGTAAGAGACTTGCTGTGTAGGCACGGCTTATAGCACTATTTTACCCTCACTTATATATCATATTATTGTATGCCAATAATTATTATTCAATATATTTAGCAATGGTTTTACTGTATCAATTTGACTAACAAATTATAAATATAATATAATATCTTGAAGGTTCTAAGGTTCTTGTGGCCCCAGAATATACTACATATTATTTTATTGATAACTTTAAACTATTGTAACACAGTAGAGATAGGAACACGTAAAGGAAGATAGAACATGATTAAATTATAAATCTATTAACCAACAGCTCAACGTTTAACAGTTATGATACAGTTTAGGTATACAGTAGACTAAAAAATGTTTATCTAACCTAACCCAATTCAACCTACATCATTATATGTCCATAAGAGAAGTGGGACATCTTGGAGTATCACAAGGGAGATAATGATTAAGCATTAATGACTAGTGTAATAATGCCCACAGCCATCCTGTCCACAATCCCATTAAAATCATAGACAATCTCCGCAGCTAACGGTCAAATACCCTTTGGATATTTGCCCAGCCAGCACAGTCAAATAACACCTTCATAACTTGTACTGGGTAGTGGTGGTGGAGTCCCTTAGTACCAGAGTACTGTGTTTATATTTGATTCATATTATCCACAGTAGTTCTGTGGATGATGTAGTATTAATGGTAAAATTTCACTTATTACCACCAAGCATTTGGAAGTTGAAATTATGCTTGATGGATGTAAAATGTTATATAGATTTGAT